CAAGAGGAAGCTTTTTAAAGCCCTGATGATGTCATCATGAAATTGTCAACAGAAAGGCTGTTAGAACCATAGACTATATATAAGAAGTGGACGTCATGACGTCACCCGTTGGTTTGTCGACTGCCGCTTTGAAGCCTTGAGTTTGGCCAATAGGGCCTCGCCATGTTGAGTTTTTGCAACCAGCGGCACCGGTGACGGTGGATCTAACGGCCATGTGTGGAGCTAGCTGGCTGGCTTAGTTAGGTGCATCTGTAATTCACATTAACAGTCATCTTAACAGGGCTGACAATTTTGTCTAGCGAACACCAGTCTTAAAACTAAATGTACTCACTAGACAAAGTGAATAGCCAACTCCAATACACTTTTTCAACAGTGCTGGTTACATTTACATAGTGCTGTGGGTACAAGTCACTCTAATACTACTACTAATTCCGCCCTGAAGCATACTCTACTTTATGGTCTATTTTCCTCTAAATGGGACCATAATTTATTAAATGGACATCATGTTGTATTGAAGAAGACATGAAACTAGCAATTGAGACCATAAACTCATTAGGAAAGTGTTTACCTGAGAAGTAGGGTCATTTTACCATTATTTCTAATGGAACTGGACTTCTTTTTGCAACCAGAAGAGTCGCCCCCTGCTGGCCATTCAACAGAATGCAGGTTTAAGGGACTTCAGCATTAGATTCACGTCTCGGACCAGAAACTTCCCACTTGATTAGAACATAGGTATGCAGGGAGGGTCTAATGAAGACACAACTGAGTTGCGTTATAGGAAATGTAGGATGCAGTGTTTTGAAGCTTGACCCACACCAGGGACAAACAATCAGGATATCTCCCTGTGTCTGTATACAATCCTAAATTTAGTGCATCCCTAAAATTGGCAACGTAGGACAGATAAATATAGGGTTTTTTGATAAATATCAAATGTTAATTTTCTGTCTCTGTCCTATCATCTGTCCCTCTCCACAGACAGGCCAAACAGCTCTGCACTTGGCGGTGAGACACGGGCGAGTTGTGATGGTTCGGCTGCTGCTGAGTTGTGGAGCAGACACTAACATCCAGGACAACCAAGGAACCACGGCCCTGATGTTCGCATCTGAGAGGGGCCACACACACATTGCAAGGCTGCTGCTGGAGAGGAGCCAGTGTGATCTCACCCTGACTGACAAGGTGATAATGCAGAAAACCAAATCCCATGGACAAGTTACTTCCAGCATTGTCCTCTAACCCTAAATCCTCTAAGTTTTGTCTGCATTATAACACAGTACAGTGCAGGCCAAACGTTGTCTTGTCAATGGTATTAATTGTTTATGGTCGTTAAAGGAATCCCAATTATCTGAACAAAAAATTCTCAAAAAAACCCCCACAATTCTACAGGCTGGACCCCCATTATATTAAATTTCATACATAGTTAATATGATGACTCCAACTGAAATTCTGTTGTAAAATCCTGTTATATGTGTTAACAAAATGGCACATATACTTTTCTATTCTCATAAATGAACACAAGAAGGAGCTTAGATGTATGAATGTTTTGACTGACACTGTGTGGACGTGGGTGGACTGAATAGAGCTTTCCCAGGATTAATCAGGGCTACAGTTAAACAAATCTCCCTGGGCTGAGATGAGCTAATCTGCTAACAGTACCGTATCTGCCAGTCTGAAGTGGTAGGAGGCAGGGAAGAGAGCAGAAGAGGGGATGCAAATGTATCTTCTCCTTTTGACACTGTCTACCTTTAAAGTAGAGTTTAAGAGAGAAAAAAAGACCATCAACCACAGGCGTCCTTTCTTGACTCTGAACCATGTTTCACCATGACACAAACTGAGATTAATTAGACAAATTGAATAACGAAAATTAAACTTAACTCATTGATCATAACTACTGAAAATGCAACCTTGCTCAAAGAGCAGTTTTGTTATTTAATCTGTCTTCTAGACATAGGTGTAGCACAAAGACAATAATTAAATCTGAACATAATGCACTGAGGCACTCTGCTAGCATGGCTAAAAATATGTATTTTTAAGAAAGCCTGTGACTAATGTATCTAACTTAATGGGTTCAGAATTCAACATTTGTGTCTTTACCCTAAATTCCTGTTTTTCTTTCTTTTTGTCCCCCCAGCGTGGTCGAAGTGCTCTCTCTATCGCCATGCAAGGTTCCCACACGGATACAGCCACACTCCTGCAGGCCCATGCTAAAGCTCGAGCTTTGTAGTACTGGAAAATAATCTGCAGACATACAGTACTTGTTTCTGTCTGAGTCACTTCGACACCCAGTTTAATGCTGGATTGAGCGGTTGCTTTCATGATATTGTTTCCGAATTCTGGATATCTGCACGAGCATTAGCTTCAGTGTTTGGGTGGGATGACATCATTATAACAAGACTGTATATCATCAGTGAGCGAGGCAAAGCTTAGATGTGGTAGTCATTTTTTCGCTGATGCAGTATAGAGTAAGTGTGTTGTCTTCTATTGCTGTTGATGTTCATTGTCAGGTCTGATCCTTGCACATCCAAGTAGCAGTTTAGCTTTGCAAACTATGCAAAGAAAAAATATTTATGTTTACTGTGTTGGTCAAAGACCAAAAGGTCAGTGCTTATAATAAAAGTTTCACTATCCCAGGTGCCTTTATGTTTTTAGAGGAAAATTACATATAACTATTTTCATTCTTGCAGCAGCCGAGCACTTTTAAAATAAAATGTGTGTAAAACATACAAAGACAAGCAAAATACATGTCTTACACTGCATGCCAAGCACATTAAAGTATGAAACAATATACGGTGCCAAAAACCCAACCTGTAGATTGCACTTACCTGTAATTGCTATATTGATGTATAAACTGTCTATTTGTAATAAAATGACATGCTCTTAAATCTACTTTCTTTATATGATAAATGTCAATTCTGGGTTGTGAGTGATAATTGATAAATATAAATGATGAAAAATGGTTGTTTTCATTCTATCACTCCCATTTTAATCAAATCGATTAATCAAATCACTTGATCATTTATCACTCCATTATTGATTTCACATCCATTTTTATCCATTTATTTTTCAATTCACATGCATTTTCATCGCCTCCATATTTATTACTTAATATTTGTTACTTTCACCCCTCATAAAATGCAATGGTTGAGCAATCAGGCAGCACTTGTCCATCAGCTTTGTTGCTGTAGTAACAAACCTGGCCAGCAGGTGGCACAGCTTCCCCATTTCACCATCACTACTGCCAGACCAAATCAAACAATAATACACATCCAGAGAGCAACAATATGTATAAATATGGAATTCTAAAATGAGCATATCCAAGGGATTACATCTAATCCCCTTCAAGTGTGACAGACAATTATAAACATGACACCCACTGAATTTTACTAATTCCACTGTGCGAGAGGACACAATGAGATTCACCTGCAATCCAAATGTATGGCAGCTGGAATAGTCCAGTCAGGCGTGAAAGCAGATGTGTTTGAGTGGCCTTTGTTCTTCAGTAACCCCCCTGGGAAACAGTAAGGGGCAGCGCTTTAGTCTTGCTACAAGGACTTGAGATTATGTTGGTGAGATAAGACAAAAAGGATTGAATGTGGAGATGGGGAGGAGGCTAGATTTCTGTCTGACAGAGCAAAGCCACCTCATTTCCCCTGAGGATTTTTTCCAGCTTGGCTGACTGACTGTCCAGCTGCTGTAATGACCCTGAGCAAGTATATATCCTCAGAAAAAGAGAGCGAGATGCATGACGGAGACAGAATCAGCTGCTTTTCTATCAATGAAATGTCACTGTATGAATACAGTAAAAATTGCTGTATCAAACTAAACATTGTTTGCTTTGAATGAACTACAGAACAAAATGTGCAGGCATAGGCCCTGTGCCTATTCCACAAATGTATAGGTGTAAATACACCATCTCCCACCCAAACAGGCCCTCACGCCACAGTGAATAAAGGTGTTCACCTTAGCCTTTGTGCAGTAATGAACATCTGTGACACCTATTTGTCAGCCACTGCACTACTAAAAAATTTTTTATTACATAATATCCTAATGGCGCGTGGTACACCAAGAAGGAGTCAAGCCCTGCTTAAGTTTAATAATGATAATGGACTGGATTTATCAACTACTGTTTCTGTCTGCTGATGAATCTCTCTGTAAGTGGATGAATGTGAAGAGCAGCTCAGTCAGACTCTCAACATACCGCTAGAGCAGCTTCTTATCAGCTTTAACATCAAAACCAAAACTTGAAATCATAAGCAATAAGACAGAGTTTGCTCAATTTAATCAGTTCAGGTGTTTTGCTGCTACAGCCTTACATGTTCTGGTCTGACCAGCAGCCCATAGTAGCTAATGTTAACTAACATTATCACATTTAACGAAGAGAGTGCTGTAAAAATTTTATTAAGAAAAAATTCAGTTTGTGGTCAGTTTGGTGGTTGTACTTGTGCTACATGTTGCAAGTCACACAAAAGTAAAACAAGAAATAAAGAGACCATACCTTATCAGAAGATATTTGTTGTTTCCTGTTTCCTGCTGTTTTAGGGAGTTCACGACATATTTCCACAAGCTGAAAATCACACACGTTTGACATGGGTCATTGGTCTTAACTAAATCCAAGGGGAAATATCCAATTCTTTAGCTTCTACATGCTCATCCAATTTACCCGCTAGTATCCAACTTTTTCTGTCTGCTGTTTGGTGCTGTGCAGGGTTCCAAACCCCCCCCCAAAACAATGAGCTAACACAGGCTCTAAAGCTCTAAAGAGAACGGCAGAGTTGGGGAATAATTATCGGTGAGTCTGTCACTATGAACAACACTTTTTACATTACACATATTTGTCTGACCCACCCAATAAATAAAAGTTCAACTAATTTTAAACGAAAGGAAATTGAATATGCCAACATCCTGTTGTTGCCATTTGTTGCATCGGTGGTCACAGTTCAGCAGAACTTCTATAGTTTCACTTTAAAGATCTTCTACAGGTAAATGAAACAGCACACATTAAGGACATTTTCAATCAGATTTTATATATCAATATATAGAGATATTCAAAAGTAATCCATTACAGAAAGTGGAACCAGTTTGGTCTTAATACAGTTCATCTTTGCATGTACAGTAGTTGGCTGATCCCTGTCCTTTTCATGATAAATACTAGAGGAAAATGAAAATGTAAATAAAAAGGCACAAATAAACAGGTTGGGAAGCGCTGCAAAGATGTGGGAGTTTTTCAGGAGGGGACGCCATATTTTTATGTTGGTTAACAAAGAAAAAAGGGGTTGTACACAAAAGGGATGCTAACTGATGCACAGCAAGAAACAACACAAACCACTTTGGTGGACAATTCCGATTTCTTACAATCAGGGAATGCAGTGCTCTCCTTTTATACAAATAAATTAATATACCTGTCAACATTTTATCTAAAATCTTATGTACATCTTCTCTTTTACATTTTTGTATTATACATTATCAAAAACCTTATGAAAACATATTTACAAATCAATGAATCAAAAAGCACCCTCAAAGCTTCTCCAGTGTCACACACTGTTACACACATACAACACACGCACATACACACCTGTGTATCCACACACCTTCATACACTGTTTTCGTCCATGCAATACACAATACAGAAGGCATTCTAAGAGGGTTGTGCAACAAAGAGCATACAAAACGGTTCAAATATGGCTGTGGGATGAACATTAGCACGCACATGCATAATAAACACACACACACACACACACACAGTCACACACAAGCACGCGAACACACAGACCTTTAAGGTTTATGAATGGAGTAACAGTGTTAATGATGGGACTAAACCAGCATGAAACATATTCACCGAATTTGGTCTCAACCTCGTTACATCAGAGTCTGGTTTTAGTTTTCTGTAGTTACATCACATGACAGGTCTTTTTCATCATGCAGACACCAGCTGGGCCCTCCCACACGGCACTATCCAAAACTGTCTGCTCAGATATCGGCCCTCTGAGGAGGAGAAGTGCAGGCAATGGAATCCAGCTTGCTTTTGTGAATGTGTGCATGCATACATGTTTGCGCGTGTGCATCTTGCCTGCAACAATGAATGGCTGCATTGTCAGTTGGTGAGCAATTATGCATGCTGTTTGTGTTTTCGGAGGGCAAGTGCACATTGTCTCTGTCCTCTGGGGAACAGCATGAATGTGTTATCAGTGCACCCCATGTGTATTTATGTGTGCATTTGTCACAGTCAAAAGCGGGCGATTAAATAAAATTCTTAACACTCGAGGATTTTTGTCAACCACGTAAAACTGCAGCCTGACTAAAAGCTGCAGTCTATTGCTTTTCTCAAACCATTTAACACCTAAACAAGTCACAACAAAGAAGACAGAACTCCTGCGTAAAATTCACATTCCCCTAACCTTGCATCCTCTTTGCTCATAGAAAACAAAAGGTCTACATACCATTTTCTTCTTTCCAGTCCGCAAACCTGCTGCCCTCTCGCAAAACTCTGGGGAGTTAGAGGTCAAATAAAAACATAACCCCTCAATTCAACCATACTCAATGGCACACTTAAATGTTAGATGACTCACCCTTAAAAGGCCTCCCTCTGAACCAGAGAGAAAGAGCATACTGTGGGCGGTAACCTTTCTTTAAAATCAATCAGAGAAAAATCTAACAAAAGAAAGCCCATCCAGGAAATTGTTAACTACAAAAGACAGTTCCAGTAATGACATTTATGACATATGTGATTGATTCTAACACGAATCTGTACAGATTGTCCCATCAACGCAGGTGCTGTCCCAGTTTCAGAGCTTCTCCTTCCTAAACAGTGTTCCCAGAGCTCCACAGCCCACCAGGAATAACACGAAGCCCAAATGAATACATCAAGGACGAAACAGGACCTCTCCCTATCCCTGTCACAAAATATAAGACACACAGCACACACTGCACTCACTTATCAATGCAAAAGACTCAAGGAGGAACCAGCCTGACTCCATTTCCCAGTTTAGGTCAATGTTGGGAACACATTAATAATTCTGCAATTAATTCTCAGCATTTTCTTGTGAAAAAGAAGATGCAGCTCCAGCAGAAAAAAGGTAAGAAACTATTATTCAAAGAATTGTGGTAGTTGTATTAATTATGCTGTTTTTGATATGGAAATATATAATATGGGCATAGGGCATGGCTGTGAATGCCTGCACTTAACACTTGATAATATGTTGTGCGTCCCTTCTGCAAACTCAGTCCAAGTCACCTTTGCCCTCCCTGTGTGTGCGCGTGTGCCTGAGCGGCCATTTTCGCCGGAAATCTGCCCTTGTGGGTCACTTTGCAGTGGAGAGCATGGGCTGCTCCGTGTACCAGTGAGTCCCTGGGTCAGGCATGCTGCCCCCGAGTGGCAGGGCGATGAACTGTGGGCAGGTTCCACCCCCTGCTCCTACAACCCCCATGTTGACGCCCTGTGGGTACGGGTGATGGTGGGCGTGGTGTCCCATGCCGTCAGTTCGCCCGATGTGGATCTCGTCCTCCTCGCCCTCACCGGTGGTCTTGCGGTAGACGGGGTTGTCAAAGTTCATGCTCTTGGTAGAGTTGCGCCGCCAGTTACGCCACACCAGGTAGACTCCAGCACACACCAGGCCGAACACCACTGTGGCAATGATAGGAACTGCATGCGTTTAACACACAGCGGCAGGGACAAGGGGGGGCAGCGTTAACAAGGCATAACGAGTCCATGGCATGAAATGAGAGGCACAGAGAGGAGCAGAACAGGCATGCGGAGGACAGAGAGGGCAGGGGGCAGCGATCAGGAGGTTGTTTGTGTGGGTGGCTTGGCTAAACATCGTGTCAATGTCACGGTCATACACCAACCAACAGCTAAATCAGCACCATTAGTGGCTTGGCTTTGAAGTAAATAAAAAAATCTCCCTGGGACCAAAGATTTTAACTATCATATTACATCACAATCTCTTGGCAAATCATCTTCAGCAAATGTGTCTTAGGATAAACAATTCAATTTAGTGAATTAGTTTTGTTTTTGTGTGTTTATACCTCAAAGGTGCTCAGAAGTGTCTATGGTAATATTTTCCAACATGAAGAACACTTTTGTCCTATCATCATCTCTCCTATCAAAATTTACACTCCAGCAACTCCAGCCACTGTTACCTGAGATAGTGTTATGTTTGCCAGACACAATAGTGAGTCCTCAACCTACAAACCTTTTCTCTTGAAATGTTGAAAGTGAAAACATACTGTTTGAAAATACAAACAATATATAACAGAGTTATGTTACACAAATAACAGTCTGATTAACTTACTTACAATACTAGGACTAACTAGGTCTACACTCAAGAGAACAATGCTGTTACTATATGTCTTCTGCACACATCATCAATTGGTGAGGATGCTGACTTTTTTACTGAGACTTTTAGCAAGATATCATGTAGCCAAGTATTACATATTTAAAGTTAGCCACAAAAGGACTTTTTAACCAATTAATGGAGCTAACATTAGCTTAATTAGCTACCTAGCTAAAGCTGATAAAGTTTGCTAGCTACAATTGTAGCCGGTGTTCTGTCGATTTATGCTACCTATCAAGATGTGCTACATAGCGGTTCTGCCCATAAATCTGTGCTACCTTGCTGTTGAGAATGCCATCGAGAAAGTGGCTGATCATCAGCAATATCAAAATATAATCATTATTATTATCAGAATACGCTACCCCTGGTATCCTAAATAAAGATGGTATAATATAGTAGCCGATTTAACATGCTCCCCATCTCCTTACAGTACACATGGAGTGGGTAGTGGTGCAATATAAAATGATTCTGTGGTGGGAGCATTATTTGGGGGATATTAGTCTAAGAGAATACGCTACCCCTGAAATGATGTTATAATATAACAAAAAAACAGAAGACGTCATAATACTGTGAGAGTTATACCTTTATGGGATCAGAAATGGGAACACATAAGGTGGCATTTTCGATGGGGGAGAGCGACTCGATAGTCTCTGCTATCGATTTGCGCTACAGTAGTAACTATAGTAACTAAAGGGGGTGGATCTATTGCACTGGCTTTAAATAATGAAGGCCAATAAAACCAAAAGTACCTTAATTGCTAGGTAGCGGAAAATGAGAAAAAAAAAATGTATTTAGGTGCACCAGACCTTAATTTACTTTCTTACTGCACTGTAGTATGCTAACTACACAGACAGACTAATGGTCTACTGACAAGTCTCGCTGGAACAGAAGCAGAACCCAACACAACAACACAATGTGAAGTGAATAATGCAGTGGGGCAGCAATGTCAGACGCACAGAAAATGACTCAGAGAAACCTTAGCGAGGAAGACTTGGGGGCCAGGATTCTCTCATCCTGCCACACTAGGGTCAATGTGAATGGACTACAAAAACAGTGGCCATAGGCAGCAGGTAGACAGCAGTTTTATGCAGCGCTGCAAGCCTTTAATCTGGACAGACACATGGACAAGTTGGCAATAGGTGACTTACCGATGGGGATGACCACTCCCAAAACAGCAACTGTGAGGTTCTCGCCCAGGAGGAAATGCTCGCTTCCAGCTGAGGAGAGAGATGAAACGAGAAAGAGGAGTGTCAGTGTCAGAGAGTCAGAAAAGACAGCAGAGGGAGGGAGGATAAGAATGAGAAAGCGTAGGGGATAAAAAATGTGTGAGAAATATGAGTGAGAGATAAGTGGGGTGCAGGATGGGGGAGCCGGTGGAAGAAAAGGCAGATAAAACACAGAGGCGGGGAGCGGGTGATCATGCGTGCATGGCTGTGAGTGTTTTACAAAGAGAGACAGATAGTGAAAAAGAGGTTGGAATAAAAATGAGGGAGAGAAAAATTATGAGTTGCTTGGCATTTGCCAGAGTGTGACCTTGACACTACCCCTGACCTTCTACACCTCATCCATCCAGGCTCCAACGTTACCTCATGCTCATTTACATTTCACATACTTACTGACACACTCGTGCACAAGCACAAGCGTATGCAGCCACCCACTGACATACAACACCCTACAGCCCACACAGAGCACAATTCATGGAGGAAAGAGGCACCATACATCACTCCTATTAAAGTCAGTCGAGCACGGTTGTCAGGGCTTGTAGATATCTCACTTTAGTGTCATCATTACAGAGAGGGTGAGGTTGTTAGCTACATTATGAGAGTGAGTAAGACTGCAAGATTTGGTACTTAGCAGGAGATGAGGACGCACAGGTTACAGTATATTAGACAATTGGACCCCATCTCTTGTTAAGTCCCTGACAGGGCCACTTTGGGCTTTCCAATCATACAGGGTCCAGTATGACTCGGGGTCACATGAAAAATGTTAATCACATAGTGCTGGATCTCTTCAAGTGAATGTCAGAATTAGACATCATCTGTTTCTAAGTGTTTACAGTATTTCAAGTAGTATTCTTCACACACAAGCAACATTGATACACGTTCTTTTGAATCCACAGCCCACTTACAGTGTTGAGAGACGCTGCTGTCCCCCGCAGTTGTGGTGGAGACCACCATAGTGGTGGCGGTAGAGTGTGAGCCCAGTGCCTTTGACTCTTGTGACGACACAGGCTTAAGAGTGGAGAGGGGTGTGAGCGGATCAGGGGCACCAGAGGGAGCTGTGGTCAAGTGAGGGGTGGCGTCAGCCTGTGATACTCCCCCTGGGGGCGGTGGGAAATCTTCAGCAACAGTCGCTCTGGTGCCAGGTGTAAATTCAGAGGGAGGTGAAGATGTCTGTGTCATATCGTTTCTTGGTGCTGCTGCAAAGAAAGGAAGAGGACAATAGAAAGCTTCAGCTCAAGAAACTGAATTATTGTAGATGTGTTGAAGGGTTAGGGTTAAATGTGTATTTCTCTATAACATTGAACCTCACCTAAAAGGGAGTCGTTTCACATTTTGGGAAATATGCTCTCATAGAGTTTCGGTGAGAAGATGGATACAAATCTCAGTTCTCTCTTTGTCCATTAAATATAAATCTACATCCAGGAGACAGTTGGCTTAGCTTAGCACATCTGGAAACAGGGAGAAACAGCTAGCTTGTCTCTTACCAAAGGTAAAAACATCCACCTACCATCACCTCTAAAGTTGAAGTGGTAATGATCTCCTGGACTTTAGGAAAGAAATGGAAATGGTGTATTTCCCCAAATTCTGAACTATTCTTTTAAATATTCACAAACAACCTTAACCTCAATGTTAAAGTTCTGTGAAACACCCTTAGAGGTATTTCACAGTCATACCTCAGCTACTCTGCTTCTTCAGGACTGGGTGTGGTTTGATCAAATCTGGTATTTGGATATAAGCAAACAACCCACAATTGTCATAACATTTTGATAAAAATTGTCAATCTTCCAACTACTGAGGGGGGCACAGATAACACAAATACAGAAATTTATCACTACAGCTGACTGAGAAAACGTGTTTTCAGGGGTTTTAAGTAAGGTATATCTACTTCCATTGTAGTCTGCTTACATAGTTTCCAAACTGTTTTATATTGATAGATTTATTGATATTTCTGTGTGAAATTACACATGGATATAGTCATCTGTTGTGGTTGGCATGATGGTGCCAGATCGAACATATTTAAACATCAGTGAGCCAACCAAAAATCACCACTTACATGAGCTGGTGTGACCTCAATAAAGTCTCTATCTATCTATCTTTCTATCAATACACAACAGGGCACTAAACACTTCCTTTTTTACCATATGATGCTTTGTTCAGTCATAAACATTCCTGATTATAATTATGGAGAATACCACTGATTTTGGCTCTGTTCAAAGCAGTTGTCCCCTCACTTGCATGACAAGATAACATCATATATTATAATGCATATGCTAATGCTACTGCAGTATTTGTTCCAGAGATGTTGTGTTACATTGCATGGTGGTTCCTGTTATTGTTATCTACTGCCTGTATGTGTTGCTTAGCAACTAAATCTTTTTGTTACAGTTCAATAACCATGTTGCTTGGAGATAGGATATTTAATAATTTATTGTCAATTTTTACCCACTACAAATAAATACAACATTGGTTTATTGCATGTGTTCTACTGTATACCTCTGTGATAAAATGCATTAAGCCAATTATAAATAACAACCAGCTTCAGGTAATACAGTGCTGACTTGAATGTGAAATAACACTTAAATTACAAGTTTTGAAAATTATTATTAATTAGTTATAATGAACTTGTAATAATATAGTGTAGAAGTGCCAACCACAGCCCCTGTTAATTAACAGTAAAATGACCCTAGTGGTGATGGCCTGTTTCCGCTAACATCAGAACAGGGAAGAGGTGTGATATATAAACTGTTTTAAGAATGAGGTCTCTTAACCCCACAATGGTTTCAGATTAGTTCACCACAACCCTAGGTGCAGGTAACACTATGCTTGCACAAACCTGAACCAAAATGGAATACAATGTATCAACCAAAGATATAAGAATGGACTAACTGATACACTTTACTATTACCAACTATTAAAATAAGAAAGGAAAAAGCTGGAGTCAACTGACACCACAAGAACGGCACACAAATAGACTTAATGATTTGTTACCCAACACAGCAGATAGAGCACATTCAGTCAAATAATTTCAGAAAATATTCCATTCTCTCTCTGTTGTGCTCAATTGTTATTACTGTAAAGCACTTTGTAACTGTGTCTAGAAAAGTGCCATATCATAAAAAAGGTAGTTATTATTATTATTATTATTATTACACTATCTACATTGGGATACTAAACATTTGCACTCATCCAGTAGGCATCTGCTCAAACGTTTCCCCTCCGATGACACAATAAAAATAAATAAAAAATAGCTTTCCTAAGTGAAGCAGAATCTGATTATCTACACAGTAAGCACTATGGTACTCTGCCCAACAAATCTCTTTAGGTGCTATTGATTACTAAATCCTCTCAATTACCATTCATAAACATGCTCACCTGGCACACAGCCCCTCATATCAGGCCCCAGGTCCTGTCCGTCGGGGCAGGCGCAGGTATATTTGGGCGAGTGTTCTGTAATCTGTGGAGCCTTAAGACACAAGTACTCACAGCCACCATTGGCCACACTGCCCAGATTACAACTGTCTGGGCCTGGAGACAGTGACAAAAGAAATAGAGAGACAGAGAGAATTACACGGTTATATAAATAAGAATCACTTATTCAACATGGGGGGATATCAGAGAGTCAGAGAGAGTTGTCACATGTTATTGTTCCCACACTCTTGAATTCCCTTACAGCCACTAATTTGTAAACAAAATAAAAAAAACCCCACAAAGAATAAAATCTGGTAACATACAGAAACCTGCTGTAAATATTAACAACTCCCTGTGCTACTGTGCCAGGTACAACCAACAACTTCACTGTGTTCTTCCCAAAGTCTTGTTTAGTTACAAACTAAGAAAACAGGTATGAAATACAGTGAAGGATTAAAATATAAATGGACTATGCAAAGGAAGATATATTTAAAAACAGAGATAAATATGGAAACTGACACACAAGAAAAGAAATACACAGCCATCATATTCATGATTATTAGCTCTGTTCAGTTCAACTCACATCTGGATAGTCCTGTTAGAGAAAACTGTGTTGGAGGCAGGGTTGTGACAGATGTGTGGATGTGTGCCTCCAATGCTTTGATCACCTCCACCACAATCACAAGCCTCACTATCTCTTATTCATGTGCATGGGTTGACATGAACCCACAGAGGAAGCTTGGTCACAGAGTTGCGACTCAATCTCACACAATCACAGTGAGGGGAGGAAAGCGAACAGACGTGCAGACACACATGCAAAGTCTCCCCCACTCATACTATACACACACCTTGTGGCTGTCGGAGCTGGTGGAAGACCACAATGTCATGGGGGTCGTTGAGGTTTTCCGCTAGCGTGTGGATGTCTTGACCAGTCAGCCTGTTGGCCATGAAGACCGACGCCCTGTCTCTGTCTGTCCAGTAGATACGATCCTGAAACACAGGGATTAGCATTGTCTTAATATGGGTAACACACAGAAAAAAATTGTCAGGGTTGTGTTGGGCTTGAGCCTAAGAGTGCATTTTGGCAAACAGCCATTCTAACAGCTCAGATCTCAATAGCTATTGAATTGACTGCTATTAAATTTGGTACATACATTTCTAGCCCCCAAAGGATGAATCCTACAGACTTTGGTGGTTCTCTGACACTTGTGGTTTTAAAGGTTGTGTGTAATATTTAGGAGGATCCATTTACAGAAATGCAATATAATATATATCACTATATTTCGATGTACAAAGACCTTACATAATGAAGTGTTATGTTTTTATTACCTTAGAATGAGTCATTTGCATCTACATACACCGCGGGTCCCCTTAGATGGAATTCGCCATATTGTGCCGCCATGTTTCTACAGTAGCCCAAACCATAGACTGTATATAAAAAATTTAAAATTTGCCATGATCCGGCTGATAAAGTAGTTCAATTTCTGAAAGTCATCAATGTAAAGACACCTTCAATTTAAAAGAGAAAAGAAAATGAATGAAACAGAGGAACAACAGAATAAAATATGAGTACACATAAGAAACAAAGGGACTAAATGAACTCAACAAAGAAGGCAGAGACATAAGATACGTGCTGTGGGAGAATTCAGCTGTCAGTGTTTGGCTCAGATCACAAGTCTAATTTATCTGAGGAAAAATAATAGCAAGACAATTAGCACAAGTGAAATATGCACTGATAAATATTTGTTGCCACACATAGTCTAATTCATTATGTTTTGCAGATCAGAGATCGTGTTAATTTGGCTTTTGCTGCAAATAAAATGAGGGGAGGAATGCATCAAGGAAATGCATAAGCAGAGATAATAATTATATAAATAATTAGCCATTTAGCTGACGCTTTTTTCAAAAGCAACTTACAATTGCTATGTATGTCAGAGGTAGCATGCCTCTGGAGCAACTAGGGGTTAAGTGTCCTGCTCAGGGACACATTTGTGGATGTGTCACAGTGGGAACCAAACCCAGGTCTCCCACACCAAAGGTATGTGCCTTAGCCACTGTCCCAGCGCCACTACCAGATACACACAAGGCATGTAATAAATGGGGCTGTGACACCTTGTTGTGGAAGAAGATTTAATTTGTCATTGGTTTTCTTTTATAGTTTCTGCCATATCCTTTCTTGTTTGTTACAGTGTTAGGTCTTAAATGATTCAAACACATCCTACTTAGATCATAATATAGTAGCTCAAAGGCAAATTTGAGCCATGCTTGTTATTCATTAATTGAATTGCTTGCGTTGTTTCCCTAGTTTATTCCTTCAACAGCTTAAAAAGAAAGTTTTAGACAGAAGCTGACATTTTTTGTGGTTGCCTCAAGTGTATGTATGTGTGTGTTTGCGTTGACTCAGTCACTGAGTCAGAAACAGATGGTAATGTGATGTATACTACAATGAGCTCAACTCAGTGACAGTGAGCTGGTGTATGTTTAACACCCTGAACAAGAAGGTCACCTTGTAGTCACAACTGAGTAGAGGGCAGAGAGGCCCCAGATCGATTATGTATTACACTAGAGGGAATTCATCATCATTTCTGTGAGTTACACTACAGTTCTTCTTGTAGGGTGGACTAACAGCAGAGTACAGTAAAAAAAAAAAAAAATCCTCAAGGTTATGCTTTCACCTTAACATTATTGGTATTTATTTTGTTAAAGGTTAAAACTTCGAAAAAAGAAGACAGATATGTGAGCGATTTATATTATAAAAAATATTTTTCTGAGAGAGCTTTTTAGCAGTAGTTGAAAACTCCATGTACTCCAGTACTAGTGCTTAAATCCAAAATCCACTTTTTTAGGTACTTGTACTTTAGTTGAGTAGTTCCATTTTGTGCTTTTACTATACTTCACCTCCACTACATTTCACTCTACCATCACTTTACTGTTATAGTTACTGGTTAGATTAAGATTTTACATACAAAACATATTAAAAGTGACGCATTTTATAGATTAGTCTGCCTAACATTATATTAAATAGTTTACATTAGCTCCACCTAGAACAGCTACAATACTACAAATGCTGCTTGCACATTAATCCATCAACAATAATCCAGTATTATATATGACAATATAATACTGACAAGGGGTCATTCTACAAAATGAGTACTTTTATTTTTACAGATAATATCTCTGTACTTTCACCTTAGTAAACCTTGGAATGCAGGAGTGTTACGAGTATTTTTACTTGGTGTTGTTGCAACTTTTTCTTTATAGTAAAGGAGTACCCTTTCCACCTCTGGTGTTTAGATAGGAGGGACACCTGAATTCACTGTTGGTAGTTTTACTTAAAAAAAGTCACCTGGGATGAGTTTCATGATTCTTAAGCAAGGACGCGAAGGTCCGTGTGACAAAAAAGTTGTCATCAGAGGGTGTATGCATAGGCTCTGTGCGGACGTCCGCGTGCCAGACTGTTTTTTATGTTTTTTATGATGGCCGACTACGCTACCAGGGCATCAACCAATCTACTGTGGATGTGTGGAACAAGTCCGTCAAGCTGACTCCAGAAAGTAGTATTAAGAAGTAGTTCGCATCGGTGAAGTCCGCAGCCGAAAACATTCGAGCCTTTAGCATACACATTCAAACCCAAGTGAATATTTTCAAAAATCCATGCTTGTAAACCTGGTCTGTTGCTGAATGAAATTTGTATCTCTGTTCCCACTGAGCCCAGTTCCCCTTGAGAGGAGTCCCACTGGAGAATAGGCCACTTGGGTGATGTCATTGGCACCAATCGGAGACTGGCCGGGACTTTGCTGCAGTGGCAACAACAGGGACATCCCAGACAAGAGCTTGTGAGCAAAAGCATGCTTGCACACAGGCAAACACACCCAGCACAGAAACCACGAGGCAGCAAATTTGCACGACTGCTTGGCATAAAACTAGATTTAATTTCTCTGATAGCCTTGACATATCACACACACAGGGAAGCTAGCGGCATGAGTGTGTGTGTGTGTGTGTGTGTGTGTGTGTGTGTGTGTGTGTGTGTGTGTGTGTGTGTGTGTGTTGCTTCAGGCTGCTCTCTACTCCCTATAGCTGTCCACTGTTTAGTATGCAATGGCAGTCAATCCCACAGGGGAAAACAGACAGCCCATACAGAATGACACACACACACACACACACACACACAGACAAACTGAGCATACAGTAAATTGAATTTAACAGTCATTACATTCAAACCTTCAGTCACACTGCAGGCCCCTGTGAGGCTAATGACAGAGATAGATATGATGAGACATGGGAGGCTGGATGACACCATGGTCAGCGGCCAGAAATCATTGAAATCCATTGCAAACAGACCTCAAAAACAGCCAGAGCATAGGGGTGTCCCAGGCTCTCTGCAGATGACATGTGTGTTCTGCGGTGAGCTCCATTCAGGTCCACACTGGCTATAAGATGCAGCTTTGAATCCACCCAGTACAGACGCCTGTTGGCTATATCTGAGAAACACACACACACACAAATAAGCTGAGTAAAAATTGATTGTCTTTTGCGGTAAGCACTCGTGCACTCTGACCAACAAATCCCTTTAGGTGATATTGATTAAGTTTTAAAATGTCAGATTCTCCCGATTACGCCACTGCAAGTTTTACTGTGTCGATCTATAACTCCTTAAACACTTCCAATATCACTGAAAAGCAACTGTGATAACTTGATTTTTGTTTTCATTTTACATTTACCCTTAATACTGTATTTCAATTATTTATAACCTTTACGTACAATGAGTTCATTAAGTGCATTAGATATTTTTCAGGACTGTGCAACAGGCACATTTAGCAACATAAAACAACTGCCAATAAAGTGTAATATATAGTACTGTGTAACATATAATGTAAGGACAAGAGTTGAAAAACAGCTGTTGTCTTCTCACCTAGAGTGATCCCATTGGGCCATTCAATGTTATCAGCCACCAGCACCTGTCGGTCCACTCCATTCATCCCGGCTTTCTCTATCTTGGCTTGCGTGCCCCAGTCTGACCAGTACATAAAGCTGGATTGGAAGGAAGCATACTTACTGTGTTATTAATCAGTGTACATGTAGTGCTGCTGTGCTCAGCAAGAAATGTGGAAGTAATAATCTTATAGTGCAGTTCAAGTATAATACTGTTTATACTTAGATAGCATTCGTTTTTCAAATGTTGGTAGATTCTCATCATTTATAATGTCATTTATTAGTCGAGTGACATTGTTGTGCACAACAGTCTCTGTTGTGTTGTTTTGCACTGAAACACTCACTCACAAAAAAAACTGCTACCAGACAGCAAGGGGGTGGATTAACTAACTTTATGTCAAAGTGTTTTTGGTATTAATGAGTCAGATAGCATCTTTCTATATTTATTATGAAGATTACACCAACATTATTGCACTGTCAAGGCAACATAATAGAAGTGCTTCTAAAAACCGCCTATGCAATATACAGCCTATTGTAGAACAATTCTACGTAAGACTGCAAAAATAGGACAGGAGGAATGTCATTTTTTTCAAATGGCAGCTGAAAACCTAATTTTTTCACCACAGACTGAACACTATAGCAGAGGCAATACTGTCTCTGGTTTGATGTCTGGGAATAGCACCTGTAATGTTTGTGGAGCTGTGGTTTTAAAAGGGGAGATAGAAAGGGATAAATATCTGTTAATAACAACTGGTATAGGCTTCTGATATGATGATTTATATAGTTATTACGTATGGATGTGGATCTTTTAAATTCCAGGAGTCCTTGTTTTTAATTATTTTTGATGAGCTGACAGGATTATTTATATATTTCCTTACATACAAATTTTGTCCTTGCGGGAGAAGTATGATGTCATTTCCAGCCCATTATGTTGAAATTAGAGTATTCAATTTAATTCTGCGTCTGTGCTTATTTACATCATCAGTGTAAGCAAATACTCTGCTAAATGGAAAACATGCACACTTCTGCAGTCATGGCAGTGTGTTTAAACCACCAAATTTAAAAGCTTTTGTACAAGTTTCAATGGTTATCGGGCAATATCAGTAAGCAATCAAAGCAGCAAAACACAGTGATTTACACTCATTTCTATTTAAATTAATATAATAATATTACTGACATCAATGTAAGACAAAAGACAAAACTCATTTGGTGTCACAGTAAGAAATCTGTGTGTGCTGGATTCCTGTTGGGCTGTTATGATTGGGTCTGTAATGTGCAGAAACTGTCACTGTGTGTATGCCTCAGTTAAGGCTATGCGCTTGTTTATTTAAATTTATTTTAGTATCTGTTTGTTTTCATCTGAGTTTGGATCACCAGAACACAAAAGCTGCAGAAGCACACGCTGGCATGAATTCATTAAGCTTCCCAGATTAGAAGTGATCATCTAGGACAGAATTTCTAAAAAAACTATTGAGTCAAGAAGGTTAAATGGGTCACAGGCTCTGGATTCGCATTTACACCAACAAGAGTTCTCTTACGTTTATTTCCAGGCTGAAATCACTAAACAAATCTTAATCTGGGGTCATTCTCAATCATCTTCAATTTTACAGGACAAGCAAAAAAAGATCAGTATATAGTGTCTGCCAGCATATTCAAAGAGATATAGAGGAGGGTAACGCATATAAACTATTATATGCAGACATACTGTAAATTGTTATGGAAATTCACACAATAATGGCTAATAGAGATCACTGTATAACAACCATAATTATTGATCATTTGTATCTCCAGTATTGGGTATTACGTAGGGTGGTCAAGGTGTTTCGTGTGTGTTTTTGGACAAAGAAACACACATACACAAGTACACACATCTCCTCCTCCTTACCCATGGTGGGGATCCAGCGCTATGGCTCGGGGTTCACTCAGGTCGGTGTTGATGAGGACTCGTCTCTTGGTGGCGTCTACAGAGGCCACAGAGATGGATTTGTCTCCGGAGTCAGTCCAGTACAGGTTGTGTTGGAGCCAGTCCAGAGCCAGACCCACGGGGGTCTGCAGGAGTGAATCCACCAGCGGCACCTGCTGTGAGGGATCACTGGCCTCGTGGATGAAGGCGCTGCAGGGGGAATAGGAGGGTGAAAAAGGCAGAGCGAGAAGAGGGAGTATTTTGAGGGGAAGAAAATATGTAAGTCATAATCTACAGCAGCCTAGCAGTTATTGCGAAATCAATGTGCAGTGGAGAGATGATGACTGCTTCGGGGGGGCCTCTTTTGTGATAATGAGTTTATATACACTGTTCTTCTTATTACATGGCACCCTGCCAAAAAGGTTTAGCCTTGTAAGATATTGAGTTTTAATGATTGCATTACAAGCTAAAGCATTTTACAAACTTTTGCCAAAAAGTAGTTTGACTATAAGAATAGAAAAGTAAGTGCTATTAGCAATAACCATTAATAAATGAATGAATAAATAAATTGTAATACAATTAAATAACTATTTTTGGCATACTACTTTGATAAATTGTGAGTGGATATGAAATGGATTTATATGAGCACATAGGGGACACTCACAGGACAAGTGAACAATCCAACGATTATGCATCATCACAACTGATGTGTATACTAATTCTCCCATCTCCACTGTTAAGCGAGAGCAGAGCAGAGAATGGGACTGATATGCTAGCTGTGGCCTTGGGCCATACGCTGAGCAGGTTCATCCGGGGGTTAGTGTCCTTCGTACGTGGACCACTTATCAGAATAGACAAGGCCTACCTCAGGGGTTGCCCTGCCTGCTAATGATTTGGCCCTGGCAGAGGTGTGAGGTGAGGGCCAGGCAGCTGTGCTTCCAAACAGGAATTTTAGTTTTAGTTTCCCCAGAGATCTTTTCTCTTAACATCCATTTTATAAAGAGAACACAGTGCTCCAATTAGAATAGACTCTGGGGAGAAAACGTAGTTGGGATAACAATAGGAAGGTTGGAATAATCTAACATAACTGAGATGATGGCCTGAGCCATCAACTCAGTTCATTACATTCCATTACATTTCAAAAACATATGCAAACAAGTACATGCTCAGTACATCATCATGTCAGGGTGCAACAATGAAAGATTTGTACAACATCAGATAACTACATCTCAAAATCCTCTGGGTTAAAACATCATTACCACAGAAAGTGCTATTAAACAAATTCTGACATTGACAATTAGACATTAGACATATTTAAATGCAACATAAAAACCAAAAGCATATTGCAGAGCCCAATAATGCATTACTGAGGAGTCCAATGCAAAGCCAGGCGTGTTCCCAAACTTAAGCTTTATTACAGAAAAATAAAGCATATCCAAGATCAAGTTTATAGTCTACTGTGTTAATAAAATGAAATTAGGTTAGAAATCTTAACTCAGGTTTCTGCTCTAAACTATGATTTCTATTCATGGTTTACCTGTAGATTTTCCGGTGAAATCGATCACACCAGAAGACACGATTGTTGGCCACATCCAGGTCCAGAGCCACAGCGTTCTTCTGGGTGGACACCACCTGGCTGTAGTCCCTCTTCACCAGGTCGATGCGTCGGATCTCATGCCGGTTGGTGAACAGCAAGTAAGGGCTCTTCCCTGCACATAAAGCAGAGAATATTTAATGCTCAACTTTTGTGCAAATGCAAGTGTGAACCAGCTAAAATTTACAATCACAGAACAGTCACATTGGAAAATAATTTAGAAAAGAGACTAAAGCCAGATGAATTCATTGTTAGTATAAGGAATGCATTATTGGTAGGTGAGGTTGGGATGAGCTTCAATAATGGCCAGACAAATCCGTTTTGCAAATTTGGTTAAAGAGCCAGAGGGAGGGTCCAAGTTGGTATCTCCTATTGGAAAACTGCTTAGGAGCTGCACCAATCCACCTTATCTGATTCAAATTTAACAAGCAAGTTTTGTGTGATAAAGTAAGTTCAACCTTTAGCAAAAGGAATTAACTTCTAAAAACATTCTGAGCCAAGATGGTCTGGATTTATGTGGGATTAGAAATAACAAATATTGCCTGTACCTGCATGTGTTTCAATAATTAAAAGTGAAACATATAGTACTATTCTGTTGTAAAAGGAAAGACTTAAAGAAAAGAAGATTGCACGGCAGCAAAATGTGTGCTGGACTCGGTCGGACGGTTGTATGAAAGGGAATCATGTAGGCATTCCTCTACAGTAATAACACTGAGGCTTCACCCCAGGGTCAAAAAGCATTGCAGCTTAATGTGCTGCTGCACATTTGTAGCATGGACGACAATGCTCTAAATGTCATCTTTTAACACAGATAAATAATACAACAAAGCTTGTGTGATACAGCTCAATATCCTCCTCTAACAAGAGTGCAATGACAATAATCTTTCATTAAAAATGGCTGAATAGTTGTTGCTGTATTGATCTGTATGCTTCATTAAATTGTATGCTCCTTATTATCTTGTCCTTGCAATTATAGATCAGAAGTACCTTAGCATTCTGCTGCACCTCTTTAAACAGCAAGCTGTCAACCTTCACACAGGCAGCAGAACTAAATAGACATACAATGCAGTCATTTCCTCTGAGGAACCTCGTCAATTGAAATCAGACAAATTTCTTGCCCTTGTCTTGGCCACCTGTCACAAATCCTCAATACACTTTGCAACTGGAACAAAGTTTAACCCACAGAATGCAACAGAATAATGTTAAGTGTTAATGCAGTATCTTTTTATACCTGCAATGTATATTAAAGGGACAGCTATGGATTGCAGGTCTCACCTGGCATCTCAAATGCATCTCATGTAATCACTTGTGATTAGATTTTCCATTGCCCACTCCTATGGCTGTTCCTAGCCACAACAGGACATCTACAGCCATGCTAGCGGCTCTGTGAAGCTGTAATTAGGCACAGCAGTGCTTTCTGTTCATCCTCATCTTTATCGTAGTGGCGGGGTGGGGGGTATCAGATCATCTAACTTCAGTATGCTAACATGCTCACAATGACAATGTTAGCATGCTGATGGTAAGCAGGTGAAGTGTTTTCCATGATCACCATCTTAGTTTACCCTATTGCACAACAAAGTCAAATTTTTGATTACTGACTTTTCCACCTAAAGACCCAGTCCTTCAAGAGAGAATCGCAATGCATCTAGGAATCGATTTTTTCCCCCACCCCTAAACCAAAGTATTGCACAAATTGAAACCTTGATGCTGGCACTAGATTACAAAGGATCACCAATCACCAGTGATTATAATTTATCCTGAGGGGAACATGAATGTGTGTGACAGGTAGTGATTTTATGGCAATTCATCCAGTAAACCACGTGTGTGAACTTTATGGTGGCGCTACAGGAAAAATGAGGACATTAACAAAGTCATAAGAATTCATCATCCAGAAAGCATGAAAGTCCTAAATATTGCATATTGGATAACAAATTAATAACACAAAAAAACAAAAAAACAATGGGAACAACAAAGCTGGAAACAAAATCCTGATATGACAATGTAAAATCACACTGGCAGAAAAAGACACAAAAGATACATTATTCAAGACTTGGTGTCTTTGACATGCCACAGCATTAGCACAGTTGTTAGAGTGCCAAATCACTGTGTCCTTGTTTCATTTTGGGTGCATTCATACATATTTTTAGAGCTGTCCACTTGTGATAAGGTCACACAGGATGCATTTTAATTAGACCAAAATCTGAACAGGAGCCTTAGACGCATTTATTTAGCCTAGTGGGCAACAGCCTCACTAACCGTGTGTGCCTGCAGGGAAGGTTTTATCACTCTGGCTAGCAACTACAGCCCACCTTTGTCTTGTAATGTCTATATTCATCTCTTTCTGACACTGCATGTTAATAGGATGGCAGCTGCAGCCAGTTATCTCCAGAGGCAGATATGATATTCTCTCATTAATGGCTCGCATGCCTCACTTTCCCTTTTGACAGTCTGTGTCGTAGCCTCATTGTAGTCTCATACCACAGAACGTTCTCTCTTTCTTCCCTTTCCTTCCTGTCCCAGCCCAGAGTCTGAATGATGACAGAACTGTACAGGACTAAGTGTTCTCAAAAACTGGCCATTACAATGGCAACATTTCCAACCCCTCTAAAGGGGAAAATGGTCCCCTGCTGGTTTTATGGGCTGTCATGGTACCGCTAGTTTTCATTGCCTCAAAACCATTTGCTGGAACTGCTGCATTCACCGAGATTCTGCTTTTGACACACAGCCAGACAAACTGTTCTCTCCTGGCCACGATAAACTGATAGCAAACACACTGGGCAGTCATGCACAGAGAAATACACAAGTGTAGACAGAGGCATGGGGCAGACACAATCCAAACGCATGCAAAAAAAAACACACACATATTGAGTTCTGAGCTTTGATAGCAGCTCAGTTTAATTGAGAGAAATGAAATCACAGCATTTGACAGTTACAGGGACCAAATAAGCACATTTCATTTCACTCACTGTTTCCTGCCAATTAAATAATGAACATTTTGAGGGAAATTAAGTGTAAACATATAAACTGGCCTCTCTGTAATCTTCTGGCTAATAGCTTTTGGCTATAGTTCGAGGTCAAAGAAAATGAATTGGCCTCTGAGCAGTTCACTTTGTTCTCCACTAGTCTACAAACTGTTGTCAACAAGCCTAACGGGAGACCAGATTAAATTTGTTGTAATTAGCCTCTACCGTGACTCAGCCAGGTACCCCTGAAGAGCTGCTATAGCTAATTATAAGTGTTCAGCATGGTTGAACAAATCAGTCTGCCACTCATGAAACTGTCTAACGGGACGGGAACCTGGAGGACAGAGTTGGCCTGGGAGCAGATGAGTGGTTGCCTTGGTGATGCTTGGATTTTTTCTCTCTCCATGATTTAGCAATTACACAGCAAGTGCAGAGCAATGATAAGACCCTAACAGTAGAAAGATGTTTGTGATTATGAGATGAGGAGGGTTTGACACTGTGGCACAAAAGCTGAGAGCGGAGTGTTGCACTAATGAGGCAATGCAATATCTGAGAGAATGTCTTGTTATCAACAGCACAACACAGCTTTTTAAACTTTCAGTAGAGGAAGATCTTTACAACGCAAAACTGGTTTTAACAGCATCTATGTAGGTTACGGCATGACGGCATAGATTTAAAACGAACAAAATGTTGTAAAATATAAAACAACAGATTTCCCATGCACAGGAACAACAGTCATGTGCTGGTAGGATGCAGGATTTAGCAAATCAAAAATCAAAAACAAACCACCGCACACTGAAATGACTTCACTATATTTATTGTGAACAATGCGTTTCGCCTGTCGCTTCTTCAAGTTGAGTGAACCTGAAGGCTTGTTTTTGAACAAAATATGGAATTTACTCCATAATTGGGGAAAATGAAGTATAATCACAAAAAAATCTGAATCTCTGGCATCATTTTGGTTTTATGTCCAATTGTCTCGGACACCCTGCATGGTTGATCATTGAGCATTGTGACTCACCTTCTGCCTTGCAGGTCTTAGTTACAGGGTCCATCTCGTAACCTTCATAGCATTCACATTTAAAATCCCCCTTGTAGTTGATGCAGATCTGGCTACAAGCATCAGGATTCTCACACTCATCAATGTCTGCAGGGAGGAGAGGGAAGAGAGGTTATCAATCAACTGAAAGGCAGAGAGAGACAGACACAGACTGGCAGAGATGGATGCTATTCACCCTCATTAACTGCACTATAAGAGAAGCCAATCATTTCTTAAACTGTAAATATAGCAATGACTTTCTGAAAATAACAGCTTTAATGCATGACTAACTGTGCACATTTAGGACCGCGAGTGCTGGAGAAACACACATATTGTCGTTGACAGTTAATGGAAAGAAAGAAGTCGACGGGGAGACAGGGCGTGTCACTGTCGACTTCTCTGTTCTGCTTCCTTTCAGCAGATCTCAAGCTTTTTCCTTGGGTGTGATGAGGAAATGTTAGTGCTAAAAGGATGGGGAAGGGTGTGAAGGACACAGTATGTGTGTGTATGAGAGAGACAGCGAGAGGGAGAGAGAGAGTTGTATGGATGCTACTTTCCCTGTGGGAGTGACAGGCTGGGCACACTAAACAAAGATAGACAGCTCGAGAGCTGAGAGCTGCCCAAAGCAATACACCACACATACTCACAATGACACACACATACACACACACACACACACACACACACAAACACATACTCATAGTAGCTTGGTCAGCAGGCAGCCTTCCACCTGATTTTTAATCTATCTGTCTGTCTAAAGTTTCTTTATTTACCGCCACAAGTCTTTTTGTCCAGTAGCTGGTAGCCAGTGGGGCACTGGCACTCAAAGCCGATTGGTCGGTCCATGCAGACATGGGAACAACCGCCGTTGTTGATCATACACTCATTCAGCCCTGGGATACAAAGAAAAGAAGACAGTGTTCACATGCAGCCAATCATAGACGAGGTAGGGACATTATGGTCACCCAGTAGTTAATTTAAAAGGTAAAAATCATATTTAGACCTCAGCCTCCTTTACTGTAAAATATTTTTAAAGGGTTAAGACCAGTGGAATGGCTTGTGATATTTAATAAAGGTGTATAAATATGTATGGCACATAGGTGGGGAAAATGGATATCATCATCATAATCTTCATTTTATCTCAGCTCTTGTACTCAGCTCTTTTCCATCCTTTTCTGAATCCTTATCAGATGTTCTCAAAAGTGAAAAAGGAATCAAACAGACACAACATCACACACGGTAAGCTCTTAAACCGAGAATCAGGTCCATCACCAAGGATATGAAATATGTGCGCAGAGGGGATTAATGCTGTGAACTGGGATTCTAATATATCCCATAAGGATCTATCAAAGGAGTGAGCGAGGACACCTAAATTAAACATGCGCACTGCTTAAACTGAGGCAGAGTGATGTAAAAGCATCCAGTGAATGAAAGATGCCAAGAAAAGAAAGATGTAAAAACACAACCATTCTCATTTAAAACTAGGTCAAAGCAGCTGGCACAAGGTTGGCACACAACAAAGAAGGCAGAGGCAGTTAGATTTGATTGTGCTACACACAATGGCTTTATGAATTATTTGATAGCAAGAAGGGCTCAAAAGTCAAATTTTAGGGTCGTGTTTTTAATCTCCTCCACAAATGTGTTCAACACAGCTGAAATAAAGTTTCATCTAGCAGCTGCATATGCAAGCTGTTACATAGAGTGGCATTTTTGTATTATTTCACTGTTGCAGTAACTTAGCATTTATTGGGAGTGCACATGAATCATGTTTAAAGCCCTTAAGCAAACATTCTTTTTCATGTTTGGTTTGAACAAAAATTGTTTAAATGAATCATAGAAGGTAAGCCAAGTGTGAAAGCTAAGATCGCCAGAAAAAATCTCTCTCCAACACTTCATTTAACAGCATCCAGGCTTTGCTTTTCACACAAACAATTGAGCATGGCTGCACAATGACAAGTGGAAAGGGTTGATACAGAGAAAAATGGATAAATTGAGTGCTTAATTCTGTCACCAGCATCCTACCCAATCTAGTGTAACACATTTGTCAGTAGGCAGTGAGTAATCATGGGTAGTGTTTGTTCACATTATTGCCCTGTCACGATCCTGTCCTGAGGTTGTCTGTGTTATATTATTTTGGCCATGCCTTCTCTGTGTTTTGATTGTGGCTTCTCTGTTTCTGGGTTTTGCTTCTTGATTCTGAGTTTTGGGTTTTGTATCTACTTTTTAGTTCTGTCATCTGTTGAATTTAGTTCACTGTGTGTTTACTTATTGATCAGTTTGTTATCTGTTATTTAGTCTGGGTTATTTATGTGGTTATTATATCTGCTTGCCTTAGTTCCTGTCTTATTCTGTAATTGTCTGGTCTTCTGTCTAATCCTAGTTTCAATCCTGCCTTGCCCCGTTATGTTGTTTTCAACTGCCTGCCTCTGTGTTCTAGTTTTGTGTTCTCGTTTTGTCTGTTATGATCCCTTTGTTATAGTTAGTCGGTGTTTGTCTGTTTACATTGGTTTCTGTTATTGTCTGGGGTTAGATTCTTGTCTGGTATTTTGGAACATGTGTTTTGTCTGTTCCCCCAGTAATCTGCCTGCCTGCCAGTCTCTCTGTTTTTGCCCTGCTGTCTCTCTGCCCGCCTGTCTGTTTTCCCTGCTGTCTACCTGCCTGCCTCGTTAGCCTTGATCCCAGTCACCTGTGTTGCTTCCGCCCTGCTCGTTAGTCCCTGGTGTATATATGTTTGGTTTTTCTGTTCAGTCCCTGTCTGGTCATTGTCGAATGATGAGTGTTCTGCATTTTGCCTGTCTCCACAACCTGCGAGTTTTGTTCATGCCTGTTGTCTTGCTTTGTTCGTTGGAATTAAAATCCCTGAACTGCATCTCAGTGTCTTGCGTTTGGGTTCTCTCCTGCTTTGCGCTCACCAAACCCTAACATGCCCCATCCCTCCATTTGCCAGCTGCTGGCTCCAGCTTCATATTTACCGTACAGATATGAGTGAAGTACAATACAATCAATCAGCTCACCTAACCCTCTGCAAGAAAGTAATAATGGCATCACCCCACCTGTGATTGTTTCTCTACAATCACAGGTAAGTTATACTGATGCAATAACATGCTGAAAGTCAGTCCTGGTAAGTGTGTTCCTCTCTTAATTTACACATCATAGCACAGACCGCTACCACTACCAGCAATACACTGACTGCATGGATCCAAGATGACCTGTTCATCTCATCTAAGGAAAGAAAATTAAACTGAAACAAAAATAAAGAAAGATAAAGTTGACTCTCCAAGGACTAAGTGAAGGTTACTTTTGTGGGAAATTTTCATCTTTGCTTTGTGTAAGTGCCAGCAGACTTTGAAAGCTTCAACCGCCAGCATTAAATTCCCATCTCTAATTCAGCTGGATTGGTGACAGCTATCTGCCACTCACAGTAACTCCCACTAACTCCCTTCATGTTAGTTCAGAATTAACTGCAGACAGAAGAAAGACAGAGATGTAGCTGTATTTGAGGACTCATTCATTCCTGTTTCTATGAGAGGGGCTGGGTGGTCACAAAGATGCCCCAGGAGAGACCCTGTGTGACAACAGGAACACCTTTTCAAGCCCGCCTCCAAGGAAAGGCATGATTTAGAGGTCACTTCTCCTTTCCCATGGGCAAACACACATGACGCCTCTCCTTCTCCACCCCACATCTCTCTCTCTTTCTCTTTCTCTCACCATGGTAACCCATTACAGTACCTATTTTCAGCCATTTCTCTCAGTGAACGCTGCAAGTGATGGTGTAGTCAGTACTGTGGTAATATGCCATTATTTCTAATGAGAAGGGAAACATTTGCTTGCACACAGAAATAAATGCATTGTCTTTATTTTTCCCCTGATGTAAGCAGGGGAATGCGGCAAATACAATCACACTGAACATCTACTGTACGTCTATGTGTGTTTCCGATCAGCGGGGTGTATTATTTTCTCTGCGTGTAGCTTTTGTGCGTGTTTTGGTTGGGGAACATCTTGCGAGTAAACGGTTGAGCGAGCAGAGCGATGAGCTAGGTGTGTGTGGACACGCTTCTAATGAGCTGAGAACAAGACCTGAGTTGAAGGAGAGAGGGAGGGAGATATGGAGGTAGAGGAAGGAAAAAAGGGATAATCACTCTCTGGAATACCTGTTTCGGTCTTGTAATTTCCATCCCTGGCAGAGGTCAATCTACTACGTCACTTTTCCCTTCTCAACTTTATGTTCCTCTGCAGAAATGTAATCTCGAGAGTTTATGTCTGTTTCTCACTCTTTCTTACTGAGCTCTTCAACGCAGAGTGAAAGTAATAAACTCACAATGTTTTGTTTCTTTAACTAAGACATCACTTTCATTTATTCATGGTCAGTAAAATGGGATAAGAGATGAAGATTTATAAAGACAGGAAGAGAGATGGAGAACAGAGAGATTATCGCAGAGCAGAAGAAGCCCTTTTCTTCTGTTTGATGGTAATTAGTACATGCAGGCTTTCGTTCTGATCAACGAAGGCTGCTGCTAATTTGAGTGTGCTTCCCAAGCCTTTGAAATGCAAGGTAATGAAGGGAGGTGGTTGCATTTTGTGAACATGATTACACTGCTACATTAACTGCTTGAATCCATTTACAGTAGATATGTACATGCTCTTTCATTGCACGGGACTGAGGCAAATGCTCCACTGACGCACACAGTTTCCCTCATTTCCCACTACTGGGAAATGAAAATAAATATTTAACCTTTAAACAGACCAGACGAAACGCAATAAATAAAGTTAGTTACTAACAGCTGACACAAGGTTACAACCAAAAAAAGAAAAAAAAAGTCCTCTTACCGCACTCTTTCTTAGGCTCATCTGATCGGTCCTTGCAATCCTTGACAGAGTCACAAACCTTGGAGCTATCAATACACTCCCCATTCTTACACAGAAACTTAAGGGGTCCCTCACATTTGGTGGCTGCAAAAGAAAAGCAGAAGACAGATCAGCATCTACACTATAAACTTTATGAACTGTTATTTGCATAAGCTATTGCAAACTGATTCAGAACCTCATACATCAAACAGTGTGTGAAGTCAAATTGAATATCTCCAGTGGTTCACCAAATTATTGAAGTCTCGCATGAAAAAGTGACAGCAAAAAATACTTCCCGCTCTGATATCATCCCACATAAAAAGCCTAGTGTAATAAAAACTAAACTTTAATTTGGTCCAGTTTCACAGTGCTAGTGCTTAATTTCCGGCAAAATAATTTTTCTGTATGCTGGTAAATTATGCAACATAGTCAGAAGACAGAGAAGTAACGAGATCAACTTACAAAAAGCACTGGGCTGGATCCACACAACACAGCATCAATGGTCATTACAGCAATTAATTTCACAAAAAGTTATGTTCAGAAGAATTACATAAGTTTTAGGTTTTAATGAAATCAAACCCTATTTTTGATACTATTTATCAATACATATATAATAATTTTTTCTGCAATAGCAAATCAATGTATTTACATTCTGATTATCTTTCTATATAGTAGTTGTCATTGTTAGTGGCGGGGCATTCCCAAAATAGATTCAAATTGCCTACTAATAAGCACGAGGTATCCACAGGTAGCAATGCAGCATGTAATCCAAAATTATTTTATCACAGATATCAACTGTTTACTGTTCACTTTCCTCACACAGTTAGGGATGAACGATTAATTGCATTTGCGATATTAAAATGATGTAATAAAAGTAATAACAGAGATTTTCTAATTGCAAAGGCTGAGATTACACTCACTGACATGACACCCAAGAGGAAAGCAGTCTGCAGACAAAGTTGATGCTTCGTCTGCACGTTACGTTGTCCCTTGCCTTCTTGTTGTAAAATGGCCTTAAGCTTGACAGAAGCTGACACTACATAAACTTTAGTGTCACACAGGGAATGAAAGTAACACCCGCCACCCGTGGGTAACGCGGTGGTGGGTGAAATCGTCGGGCCATCTGTGGCTTTGGCGGACAGGAAAAACGCACAACAGAAAGACACGTGTAGTAAAGTAAGCATATTGTGGCGATCGGCACCTGCGTCACACACAAAGCCACCAGTCAGCTCAGGAAATATCTGTGCTGCTTACCAGCATCGCAGGCTGCGGGGGAGGGGAACTCCGTTATTGTAGGAGAATTACTAAGCTTGTCTATTAAACAAGAGAGGCGACACTTGGTTTTATTTTCATTGGCCAACTTTTGAATTAAACCTCAAACTGAGTATTTTTTGTTTGTTTACTGTGATACAGAAACATGGACTCCTAGGAGATTTGAACTGAGATAAGGACTCATTAATTGGTGGTTGAACTGTGGGTTTTGTATTGAGCACTTACTGTATAACACACTGTGGTGAGTTAGTTTTTCTTGTGGTCTGTAGGTAGGCCGACCTAATGATATTATATCATATTATTATTATAATTTGATATATCTTCTCTACCATTGCTCATAATAATAATTCTACCTGATTCATCATACAGGCCTGACCCACAAAAAAGAACAGTATATGTTCTATCTATCTAATATTTTTGAATAATACAGAAGGTAAAGACCTTAAAAATGTATCACATATTAAATCGCAATTGCAATTTTGGTTAAAAAAAATCGCGATTATTTTCCAAAATCGTTCAGCCCTACACAGTATCAAAACTGTATTAAGTTACTGTTAATGAAACACATCCTACTGCTGTTGCTTCACATTAGAAGTGTTCCACTGGCATCAAAAGTGCATTTAATAACAGCACAGCACATTAGGGCTGAATGAAAAAAACAAAATCAGATTGCAATTATTTTGAGAGATGTTGCAATTGCCACATGATTCACAGTTTTAGTGGGAATGCTCATTTTTGGACACAATGCTTCATTTATAATGGTATGTTGTGACACATTTTGCTTTTATCAATAAATTGCAGCTCCTGGATAGTGCATTTGGCTTCATTGCGATTTCCTTAATATTTTGAATAATTGTTAAGCCCTTCAGCAGAAGTGTTTTAATTACTGAAAGGAGTAATGGAACAAGAAGGTGTAGCCACAGTAAGCTGTTAGATGAAGAGTTGCAGGTAACCGGCTGCACACAACCAACAACTTTTACCGTGCTGTGCTATTTGTTGTGTGGGAAAAACTCTCACCATACATAGCATGAAATCAGATCGTGGTAGTATTATATTTCTGACAGATTTCTTTATTAAATCAAGTCAGTTTAGACACTCTGCAAACATGAACACCAGTTGCTCTTTTGTTTCATTTCTGACAAAGTAGCTGCTCAAGGATTGTTAGCTGTATTACTGGAGTAAACTGCACTTGATGATACCACAAGTAACCATGGGTGACACCTAATCAACCAGGGCTGAAATCTTAAGGATTGCAACTTTAAGGTGCTATCTTTGCAATTCATCATTTGTGTTAGGGCTGTAGCATGTGCTATAATATCAATGTTACTTTCATCTTACATAATAGTTCTACAGCTGGGAGGCTTTGGTCAACCATATTATACAGATCACACAGTTCCTGTAGCCACAAAGTCGTCACTGGCCATTTCAAACTCACAAATGCAGTCTTGTGCACAAGGGAGAGACACACTGAATCAAATACAAATACTAAGAAACAGGACACGTGCACAAAAGAAGAAGACAGGTGAACAGGCAGAGAGGAGGACATATTCTGGCAGCCAGACATGCAGACAGCCATGACAGGCGTACCCACCGTTGACACAGCCAGATTCATCACTGTGGTCAGGACAGTCATGGACCTTGTTACACTGCTTGGTGCCGTGGATGCAGGAACCATCACCGCACTGGAACTCATCGGGACGACACGTCAACAGGGCTGTAAGAGGCGCGCACACACACATAAACACACGAAATTGGACTTGTAAACCCCCTTTAATCCGTTCAAGAAGAACGCAACATCCTGGGGCAGAAACTTTTTGTAGCATTTCACGCTATCGGTTTTTCACAAGTCTCTCTACCATCACCTGTCTAATAAAGGCAAGACATGCCCATAAACTTATTTAAAAAAATCTTTTGTAGAAGCCTGCATGAAATCAAAAATGTTATGCAATAACATTTAGTATTGTACTTCTATCCATTCACAGCCTGTGCTAGGTGCTGCCTACAACAGAGGCAAGCAGCCTGAGGGTGTGTGATGAATGATTTTCAATATAGTAACGCAAAGATGGAGGCTGCATGAAGCCACACCAAATTTCATTAATATCCCAAGCACAGACAAGGTTTTCATCAACGGGGCCCAGTATGCTCATATAATTCCTCTCTAAACCACACTAAAAGCAATATACATGACTGAGGGGGAGATGATTTAGTGTTATCACAAGACGAGCAGAACAGAGGGAACATATTGGAGACAGGGCCATTGAAGCCTGGACATGCATGTGCACACACATAAAAACACATGACCTTGGGAGCAAACTCTTTATACAGTGTTTCTCTGTATCTGGGAGATTAATCTAGAGATCTGATTGGCCAATAACCTACTGTTGCAAACAGACACATGCACACACTGTATATTCATAAGAACAGACCAGCAGCAATGTCGGAAATATACTGAGGAATCACAATAACTATGTAATAGTGATGTTCACCTTGGAGCATTGAAAAGAACACACTGGATGCTTAGATACAGTTAATTCTTCTTTTCTAACTTTATCCTAACACAACAGCGCAGTATAGCTTCCACTGAAGCTTATAGGTGTTGAGATGAAGTATGTGTGGGCAACAGTCAACAGCCTTTCCAACAATAGCATTTGTCTAGTTAAAGGATATAGTAACCTCAGGACAAATATGAGGCTGTGCCTCTAACGTGTCTCCAGTTTCCTCTCTGAATGCAGGGATCCAGTTGGTTAACAAAACATCAATCTCTTGTAAGTGCTGCTTATATGACACCACAGAGTGTGGGATGTGGGTTTGATGTGTGCACCACACATCTTGATAAGGAAAAGTGAGACTATCTGGGCTTCACACTCTGGCTTAGGGAGACAAGAGCCTTAGGGCTCCCCCATCCATGACCATCTAATAGGCAAACCTGTTTTATCACAAGGCTCCATCGTCACACCATGTTTATCAACAGAAACGTATTCTTTACCAGATGCATTTAGGAAGAAAAATAACATTCTCCAACTCCCAGCAGAGTGGAAATGTGCTAAATGACAAAGTAACACCTCAGAAGAGGACGGAAATATTGTTTGTTAAGATTTTTTCCACTCTCTAGTCTCAAAGCAAAAAGATATATGAGCTTACCATCCATATAGAGATAAAATAAAACGACTCCAAATTTAACAAAACCGCAAATTGCAAACAAGAACAGAAGGTTATGTTCAAGGTTCTACAAGCAGCCTCGATCTGGAGAAATGTACTGTTTACCAGAATGTATGATATACTAATACTGTCATAGTATACTATAAAAAAAACACATTCCCCATGCACAGCAACAGCAGTCAGGTGCTGGTAGATTGCAGGATTTAGCAATGAAAAATCAAAACCAAGCTACTCAGTGAACCTGAAGAAGCCATATTTGCGTTGTTCACAATAAATCACACTAAAGTCATCTCGGCGTGAGGCGGCTTGTTTTTGGTTCTTCAATATCATGGTAGCCTATAGCTACTTTCTCTTTGAAGTTAGTATACAAGATATCAACGTAATATACCATTTGTTTATTTACTCAAGCTGTTTTACCATTATCTGCTAACTGATTTATTGTTTTGCAGAACTACATAGCTCCTCCATTTCCTTTGTGCATTGCATTGTAGGCACATAAACAGCGCACTCAAAACAAGCATTTTTAGTATGCACACTGACCTTTTTGGGTATATATTTCCTTTGAGGCTACATACTCAAAACCTGCTTAGAATTGTAATATTGAAATGGGACACAGCTCAGAGAACCATAGCATTTTGTGTTGTACTGAAACCATCCCTCTCTATAGTACAGAAACCCTTTCAGACAAAGCATCATTGTACTGCATCAAATACATAATAGAAAGAAAATGAGAATGTATAAGATCTCGCAAGGTAAAGGAGAAAGAAAAAAGGTGCATAAGAGAGTACAGTATAGGAAGATGTAAAGAAAAAGACACAGAGAGAAACTCACGACAGTCAGACTCATCAGACTTGTCCTTGCAGTCTGGATCTCCATCACACTTCCATGTCAGCCGCACGCACTCGCCGTTGGCACATCGGAACTCCCCCGCAGTGCAGTTTGCCCGGCGATTAGGCAGATACGGGACCCCGTCGCCGCCGCAGCGCTCCGGCCCCTCGTCCGAACTGTCGGAGCAGTCGGGGTCTCCGTCGCAGCTCCACATGAGCGGCACACACTCCGAGGTGTTACAGCGGAGATGGTTGGGCCCGCAGGTCAGAGGGGAGGCGCACTTGAGCTCATCGCTACCGTCTCCACAGTCGTCGTCACCGTCACACACGTAGACGATGGCCAAGCACTTGCGGTTGGCGCACATGAACTCACCGGTGGGGCAGGCTTTGGCATCTATGGAGGACAAGCAGAAAGGACATTTTCAAAGAGCAAATGAACGCCTGCATCTTCTGTCTAACTACCAACATTAAAGTTGTACATTTTTGAATTTACAATTTTGACCCTTAACTGCTAAAAAAGTGTAATGAATATGTTTAAAGGCCTGATCTGTAAAATGAAATGCACACCAATGTTTCAGGTTTTGCTCACAGCGCAGGGAATAAAAGATTCAACAATGACTACAGCAATGGGTAGATGAGAAATGTAAAACCGGAGGTGAGAAACTTACTGGCTTAAATTAGCTTCAAATATAGGGACACATTGACAGAAATAGTTTCTCAGGTATATAGGCTGAAAGTCAAATATCAGTAGGCCTATCATAACTGACTGAAGAGACAGAAAGAGTGCTGGACAGGAGGAGAGGGGATGATGGTGATTCTCACAAGAAGAAGGTAAGAGGCTTCCTCTCCTTTGGAGTGAAAGATAATAGAGCTCTCTCTGCCAGTCCGTTTCAGGTCTCTGTGACGGATCTCTTTACTTTCTCTTCTCTCAAAAGATCTCTCTTTTTCGAGTGTGTTTGTTTTTTTCTTGTTTGCTCCCTTGGCCATCTTTCTGTAGTCTATGGCTCCACAATACAAGAAAAAGTTGGTTTTCTGTATACTAGGTTACAGTTGATATTATATGAAATTCAGCCTTACAAATGCAAAAAAAAAAAACGGTCACAGTGACATGGAAGAAGAAAAATGGAAGGAGTTTTTATGGGCTACCTAGGGACTAATCTAAAAGTCCTAATATAAAGGGCATGGAAAAAACACAACACCTACAAACATTCCCTCCAGCTTTTCTTGTCCATCCATCCATCCATTCATCCATCCATCGTTAATCGCTTATCCTGCGTACAGGGTCGCGGGGGGCTGGAGCATATCCCAGCTGACATTGGGCGAAAGGTGCGGTACCTACACCCTGGACAGGTCACCAGTCCATCGCAGGCTTTTCTTGTCCATTTGAACTAATTAAAGGTCCAGTGTGTAGGTTTTAGTGGCATGTAGTGGTGAGCGGTTCACAGTGCATGAACATGATCCTCGGATGGTCCAATTCCCCGAGCTGTGGAGTCGTTCTTCTGACTTCAGTGTGTGTTTGTGTGCTCTTACATCAGAATGTGGAATTAACATGGATGCTACTACAAAGATTTGTTGGATTAAACAACACACAGACATCTAGTTCACTCTACATGGATGGCAAACCATATTACAAATTACATGTTTGCAAAATATGTATATACAATATGTAATTTTGCACAAGTCAAAAGTTCTGTGTACTTCTTTATGCCCCATTTACACCTTTTCCCTCTTTTGCAATAAATATTTAAGGAGGAAAAAATACTGATTATTCGGACACCACATGAATGCACTGTCGCAGCAAGCAGGAGAAGCTACGGTGGCTGACACGCTCTGTTGGCTCCTGTGCTAACTAATACTAAATAAAACTATAGCCTACGCAGGTCTAAAAGCACACCAGGGAGCCGCACGCTCTCATGAAGGGACCGCAAAACACACCTCTATCACATGAAAAAACTAGGCTACTGCAACATTAGTTTTGATATTTATGTAGCCTACACAAAATCTAAGCATTGCTTATGCAGCTCTTATGCAAGTTTACTTCATGCAAGTGGATCACTGTCAGATAGCCTAATGACCCGTTGATGCAGAATCAACCCAGGACACATTGCTCAGCTCCTGCTGTCAGACTCTCCTTCACTCACTGTGCTGAGCAAGTCCAATACCAGTAGTAGAAAAGGCATTTTCAATAGCAACATAGAATGTTTATCAAGATTAAAATGCGTGAAATGAACAGCGCTCCCCGCTGGCGCTTATAGATATAAATGCCAATTTCTAAAACCTGGCTTTATCTAAACATTTTTTAACAATAGGGGTTGCTCTATAACACACTTTTAGGTAAAGTCAAAGACTGGGGAACTTGAATATTATATTGAAACAAAGTTACAGTTTGAAAAATAGCCGCGGGTAAATTTGACCCATTGGCGGTTCTAGTGTTTAAACAGCCAACCGAGTACAACTACTCAGCTTATCATTATTTTAACTGATGGTTAAATGCTGATTAATTTCTATTTAGAACATTTCAAATGGGTTTATTCTCCGTAACAGTAAAAATGTTTATGCACAGAAAATCTGGACTCTGAAGACCAAACCAATTTCTTGATCTTTGGGAGATGTGCGCTTTCTCCTGCAGGTCACTCACAATCTGCTACCACGCTACAAAGTGCTCTTTCTCTGTAAAATGTTTTAAAACAGCAATCCCTTCCTGTAAGCAATCTTAACAGCCAAAGGCAGCAGTGTTGAAGCTGAACTCCCTGTGGTTTGTGAAAATATCAAATCCCTGTGCTGGCCTCTGCGCTGCTACAGGGTCACAGTGGGAACCCTGACTCTTCACAGCCTGAATACTTTTGGCCAGACATAAATAGAGAAACCTGAGAGAGAGAGAAAAAGAGAGAGAGAGAGGTCTTCTGAAGCCTTGAGGTTTGCTTTCTGAGGTGGACTGGTAACGTTACAGAACAAACTTTTCCTTTCTGCATAGAAACATTTTCATGAAGTAAGGAATAAGGTCAATACTGGCCTAGAGAGTCAAAACTCAGTAACTGAAGCTAGCCCTAAAACTTGAGCTAATTTTCCCACTTTTTTCCTGCCTGTGTCCTGCTATTGAAAAAAAAGTAGTGCTTCAACATCTTAGTAACTGAGTTGATGTAGCCCATAAATGAGGCCATAGCTAAATGTACTAAAAGCTAACTAGCCCTGTTTAGAGTAACAAAACTGCCATCTAGGTCAAGCTTTTGACTCTGCATGGTTTAATTTACATGAATTTGTGTACTTAAGTTAGTTTAAATTTCAAGTTACAACACATTCAAGATGGCGCCAAGAGGAATGGCATGTAAGACTAAGAGCTCTTAAATATTGGACTTTCAACTGCTCATACTATTCCACAACTCTATAACGAACCAGGGACTTTCCTAGAGTTATTAGTTGGAGGAGCAGCAGCTCTGTTTGTGATCCTTCGGAAATAGCGCAGGGGAAAACGAGCAGGTGCGCTGCATAAACTGAGACAGCGGGGTTTTCGCAGACACTCCCCTCTAGCCAACAAAATGGACGAACTGCTTCCCCTCAACAGTACTAACTCGGACTTCTGCAGATCTGCCGCCCTCTGTCTCATCCGAGCGGATCGTGAAAGGGAGCTCACAGGAAAAACAAGGGGGGGCGTACTCTGTTTCTATATAAACAAAGGTTGGTGCACAGATGTCACAGTGTTGGAAAAATCATGCAGCCCTCAGTTAGAGACATTATTCATAAACTGTAAACCGTTTTATTCACCGCGGGAGTTTTCCTCGTTTGTCCTGGTTGTTTACATTCCACCTCAGGCCTGTGTTAGTGAGGCACATACAACTACCAAAAACCCTGGTTCACTGAGAAACTCATGCAGCTTCGTCAGACCAAGGAGGAGGCCTTCAGAAGTAGGAACAGAGTCCTGTACAACCAGGCCAGGAACAGTCTGACTAAGGAGGTCAAAGCAGCAAAGAGATGTTACGCTGAAAAGCTAAATAACAGCTTTGCAGCCAACGACCCTGCGTCAGTGTGGAGAAGCCTACGGACACTCATCAACTACAGGTCTGTAGTCATGAAGTCCTTTGAAAGACTGGTGTTGGCCCACCTGAAGGACTAATGTCTGTTGATAGTCTGTGGATGATGCAGTCATCTTGGGACTGCATTACATCCTGCAACACCTCGACTCTCCAGGGACATATGCAAGGATCCTGTTCATGGACTTCAGCTCGGCGTTCAACACCATCATTCCGGACATCCTCAGCACCAAACTCACCCAGCTCACTGTGCCAGCCTCCACCTGTCAGTGGATTGCAAACTTCCTGACTGACACAAGTCAGCAGGTGAGGCTGGGGAACATCACATCTAGCACCCGGACTATTAGCATTGGCGCCCCCCAGGGTTTTGCTTTCCCCCCTGCTCTTCTCCATCTACACCAACGACTGTACCTCAAGAGACCAATCTGTCAGACACCTGAAGTTTGTTGACGACATAACGGTCATCGGCCTCATCCGGGACGGTGATGAGTCAGTCTACAGACGGGAGGTTGATCAGCTGGCTCTCTGGTGCGGCCAGAACAACCTGGAGCTTAACACATTCAAAACTGTGGTGATGGTCGTGGACTTCAGTAGGAGCCCCCCCACTCTGCCCCCCATCACCATACTTAACAGCCCTGTGTCTGCTGTGGAATCCTTCAGGTTTCTGGGATCCACTATTTCCCAGGACCTGAAGTGGGAGCCCAACACGGACACCATCATCAAGAAGGCCCAGCAGAGGATGTACTTCCTGTGCCAGGACAGACTACAACAGACAGTCAGGTCTGCAGAAAAGGTCATCGGTGCCAACCTGCCCTCCATTCAGGACTTATACATTTCCAGAGTCAGGAAACGGCCAGGAACATCACTGCAGATCCATCTCAACCCGGACACAACCTGTTCCAGCTTCTCCCCTCTGGTAGGCGCTACAGAGCACTGTACGCCAAAACCAACAGACTTAGGAACAGTTTCTTCCCACAAGCCATCACTCTGAACAGCTGATTTCTGACTCACGGTGTCAGGAACAATTCCTGTGCAACAACCCAGTAACTCTGTCTCTAATCAGCACCTGTTTACTAGCTAACACTTATTATTTATTCACCATTCTCTATTTCAGTGCTGTTTATACTGTTATATTTTCATATTGTAGATACTGTATACCTAATCCACCTACCTCAAGTCATTACTCCTGCACAAAATACTTATACTTATTTATTCCAGCATCCTTTGCACTATGCTTCATTGCACTGTGTACATGTGTACATGCATGCATGTATATGTACCTGTATATCACATCCACCTCCGACATGTACATACTCCTGCGTCCTTTGCACTCTGCTCACTGCACTATTTGTCAATATGTCTACAT